GATATATAGTAGGTATTAAAAAAAAAAAAAAAAAAATGGTGACTAAATGATATGATGCCATCTTTATAAAATAATGAAATGACCAGAAGATACTTTGTGTGTGCATACATATACAAGTAAATATTTCCATTTATGTAAAATTATACACATGTATACACACATATACATAGGTATATATTATATATGTAAGTACATATGTTTCTAAATACAAACACACATTAATGCAAGGGGAAAAGTTATAGCTACAGACCTGTGGCACGCCCCATGATAAACTATTACCTGTGTTAAGAACATGGTTTCTGAAGCCAGCCCACCTGGTTGCAACTGGTAGTTCTCCACTTAGTAGCTATGCTACTAGCAAATTACTTGACCTTTTTTGTGCCTGAATTTTCTCCCTGTTAGGCAGAAATAATAGTGCCTATCTCACAAGTTTCTTGTGAGGATTAAATGTGTTAGAAGAGGGCCTGGAACAAAGTAAGTGCTATACAAGTTTTGACTATTATGTTTAAGTAATGAAACAATTGCAAAGTAATTTGAACAATGTATTATTGGATACCTTAGGGCAGCCCTTCTCAACCTTGTCACTATTGACATTTTGGACCAGAAAATTCTTTTAAGATTTTATTTATTTAATTGAGAGAGAGAGAGAGAGAGACCGCGAGAGAGGGAACACAAGCAGGAGGAGAGGGAGAAGCAGGCTTCCGGCAGAGCAAGGAGCGCGATGCGGGGCTCGATCCCAGGACTCTGGGATCATGACCCGAGCCGAAGGCAGACGCTCAATGACTGAGCCACCCAGGCGCCCCTGGACCAGAAAATTCTTTACTGTGGGCACTGTCCTATGCCTAGTAGGAGGTTTAGCAGCATCTCTGGCCTACACCCACTAGATACCATAGGACACCCATGTCCAATTGTGACAAAGCAACCCTAGGAGACAAAAATCACCCTCAGTTGAGAACCACTGCTTTAGTGGGAAGGACATGGGCAGAGGAGAGTGTGTTGCTTTTTCCCTTTATACAATCTTTTAAAAGTTACACTTGTAAAAGCATGTACTACGCTTGTAATTTTAAAACCATAAAATCAAGACTTCAAAAAAAGGAAAATAATCACTAAAAAAATGACTATATTCAATGGTTTTAAACCAGCAGAATAAAAGGGAATATAGAAAATGTGATCAATACAAAAGACGTGAGGAGAGAGGAAATAATCAAAGGTAAAGGTTGATGAGCAAAAAGCATAAGATGGAAGAAATACATTCAAATGTATCAGTGATCACAATATAAATGGATTCAACTCACCTATAAAAGAGATACTATCAAATGGGATTAAAGAAAACAAAGTCCAGCTATATGCTGCTTACAAAAGATACCCTAAAACAAAACAGAGAAGTTAAATATAAAGGGATTTTAAAAAGCAATAGTTAAGCAGTCACTAAAAGCAAGCTAAGTGAAACAGTATTAGCATTCAAAATAGGATTTAAGGCAATTCATAAAGAAAAAATTCCATGTACCTGATAATATGTTTAGAAAAACCATTAGAATTACAAGAAAGAAATCTGACAAAACCAGTTATAGTGGGAGATTTTAACACCCTCAGTCTCAAACTGATAGGTGAAGCAGACCAAAAATTAGTATGCACACACACGGACATGAATATGAATACATACAAATGGGGAAGGGGTGGTGGCAGGAGAAAGACTGCAAATGACAAAGCAAAAAAAGGCAAAATGTAAATAATTGGTACATCTGGATAAAGAATATGGAAAAATTTTTTTAAAACTACCAAGTTACCAAATAAAAAAACCCCACACCCAAACAAGTACGTTAAAATAAATTCACTGCAAGAAAATGGAAAAAGATCAGAAAATCTAAGCAAAGCAGGTAAGAGGAAATATAAAGGCAGAATTTAGTGACACAGAAAGCTAAAGAAAAAAAAAGGCAAAAACAAAACAGTAGAGGTCAATAAAACCAAAATATGGTTCTCTAAAACTAAAATATAAATTAAAACACATACACAAACCTCTAGCAAGATTGTTCAAGGAGTAAACAAAATACAAATGAAAATTAACAATGAAATGGAATGACTACTAAAGACAATAGAGATTTTGGAACATAAGAATAACTTGAATAACTTTATAACAATAAACTGGAAAATCTACATCAAATAGTAAATTTTAAGACAAATTAATATTCACTAAAATTTGGGGTGCCTGGGTGGCTCAGTTGGTTAAGTGTCCAACTCTTGATTTCACCTCAGGTCATGATCTCAAGGTCGTGAGATCCGAGCCCCATGTCTGGCTCTGCGCTCAGTAAGGAGTCTGCTTGAGATTCTCTCTCTCCCTCAACCTCTCCCCCTGCTCGGGTGATCCAATTCTCTCTTTAATAAATAAAATCCTTAAAAAAAAAATTTACCAAAATTTAAGAAAGGACTATCTAAATAAACCGAGAACTTTTAACACATTGAAATAGTATTCAAAATATTCCCCTCAAAAAAGGTAACAGATTCAAAGGTTGTAACACCCTTTAAAACAACACTTCAATAATAATCACTAAAGAATAATAATCACTTCAAGAACAAATAATCCCCACTCACTACAAAGATTTCAAAGAAAAAAGTAAGCTACTCAATTTTAGGTGTATAATATTGGTGCTAATATCAAACACTAAATAATACATTAGCTAATCACTTAGCAGTGCATTTTAAAAGAATTACATACCAGCATCAAGTAGTATATTCTGGAATATGTGGGTGATTCAACAAAAAAATTGATTAATGTAATTTAAAACATTTGTAAGGAAAGAAAAGACACCTGTTATCCTACTGGATGTAGAAAAAAAAAAAAAACTTACAGTAAGAATTCATAGCTATTCATGATATAGATTCCTAGCAAACTAGGAATAGAAAGAAGTATTGCTAACCTGAAAAAGCTACTACCAAAGATTTACAGCAAATATAGTATTTAATGATGAAACTTTAAAGTCATTTGCATTAAAGTCAGAAAAATGATGAAGATGCTTACCATTACCCACATTATTCAAGACTGTTCTGGAGATCTCAGCCAATGCACTAAGATAAATAGGAGAAGAAAAGAAAATTTGGGGGAAAAATGCACAAAACTGTCATTCACAGAAGATATGGCTGCACAGAAAACATCCCAGAAAATCTACAAACTATGGGAACTATTAGATTACTTGCTAGAGAGAAGGACAACATACAACAACGAGCAATAACCAGTTAGGAAAATATAATTTTTTTTTTAAAAAGCTATCACTTACAATGGCAACAAAAATGACGAGGAGCCTAAGATATATATGTATAAGCATTATAAAATGTTAAAGACCTTAAAAAAAAAAAAAAAGACCTAAAGAAAAATTGGATATCATAGATGTGGATGGGAAGATTCAAAACTCTAAAGATGTCAACTACCTCTAATCTAAAATTTAATAATTCCTATCAAAATTGCAATTTCAAAGAACAGGACAAAGTGATCCTAAAATTTTTACAAATGAATAAACTGCCAAGAATAGATGTGGTTGAAAGCAAAGAATAAGGTGGAATGACTTATCCTACTTATTATAAAGCTATGATAATTAAGACAGTTTGCTATTAATGCAAAGATAGACAAACAGACCAAAGGAACTGAACTGAGATCCATAAATTAGTCCTACATGTATAGAACAATCTGGTGTATGACAAAGGTTTCATTATAAGGATGAACTCTTCAATATCTTATGTTACTACAATAGGAAATCCCGGCGGCGGGGGGAGGGGAGGAGAGTGTCTCTACTTCACTTACAACTAAATTCCAAATGGAACAAAGAGTTGATAATTTTTTTTTTTAACTTTTAAAGGAAAGTATAAGAAAATAACTTATTTCAAAAAGCACAAATAAGGAAATTAAATTTGAGTACATTAAAATTCTAAAGTCTGAACCACTAAAGAGATCAAAACCAAAGTGAAGACAAGCTAGACTGAGAAGATATGTGAAATCCATTTACTCAAGAAAGCATTAGAATTCAGAATATATAAAAAATTATATAACTTTTTTAAAGTGCAAAAAAAAAAAAACCCAAAACACCCAACAGAAAAAATGTGCAAAGCACATGAATAGTTCACAGACATAAAATGGCCAATAAAATCAATGCAAAGTAGCTGAACCTTATCAGTCACAAAGGAAATTCAACTTTAAACTTCAGTAAGTTTAGAAACAAGAAACACAAACTCTCAGACACTACAGGAAGGAGATAAATCAGTACAACCACTGACAATAGAAAATTGATAATATCTAGTAAAGCTGAAGATGAGCAAACCCCATGACCCAGCTTTTCTATTTCTAGATATATTCCCTAAAGTAGCATTTTTCAATCTGACTGATGGTCTCAATCCTTTAAGGGTTATAAAATCAACAATCTTTAAAATAAAACAGAACAAAAAACATCAGAGTATGTAACACATAAGGCTAGTATATAACAAAGCTAGGTATTACTTACTAAAACTGTGTTAAGGTATGTATATATATATGTATGCATGAATGTACATACGTACTGGGAGATTACATATAATTGATATTATGGAGTCTTAAAGGGACCACCCTAGAAAAATGTTCCCATACATACACAAGGATTTTCACTATTAGAACAGTTTATAATGGCAAAAAAATTGGAAAAAATCTGAATCTTGTTCGTTAGGAAAATAGATGAATTGTGGTATATTCATACTATGGATTAATGTGCACCTACCAAAATGAATGAACTAGACTAAATGTATCAGCACGGATAAGTGTTAAGAACATGATGCCAATTGAAAAGAAGTTGAAAAAGAATACATATGGTTCACTGACACTTCTGTAAAGTGAAAAAAAACCCTTAAAACTATATACCATATAATACTAGTAACAATACATATCAGGTTCAGATTAGTTGTTCCTTGATGGGTGGGAAGAGTAAAAAGGAAGCTTCAACCATATTTGGAACATTTGTTTTTCAAAAATCTCTGAAACCAACCTGTGGCAATGACTTATCTCCATCAGCATGCATTTTTAATTTCATCAATGCTACCTTTGCAGCTGTTTCACTATTTTTTGCACCTTTACGTCGTTTACTTGCTGTCTCTCTGGTCTTAGAATCTAAGAAATAAGTATAAGCATATAATCACACAGAATTTTTACATTACATTTTCCAGAGTTCTATTAATTACTATTAGTTATGGCCTTGAAATGTACACAAATTACACACAATGGAGCTATACAGAGACCACATTCATTTTTGTTGGTATTATATTTACATGACCATTATAAAAATACCACTGAGGTTCATCTAAGCCATCTCCATATCAAAAACTCACTGTTATGTGCTTCTTTCTAATTTAAGCCTATTTAATCCAAAACAATCACTAACACTTCTGCAGAAAACTTTAAGAGTTGGTTATAGAAAATTTTAAATAAAGGTACTATCCTTAATACAGAATGAAAATTCTGAACATATTGGCAGAGAGACTGGTCTAAGTCACAGATACATTCTTCCTGGCACCTCAGATTATCAGCAGCATTCACAGGACAGCTGATGAGACTTAAGATTAGTATTTAAAGAAAGCAAACCACTACGTTGGCTTTATGAATACCATGTCTAGCCATGACCGTTAACCAGGTGATCTGGCCCAGTAAAAGAACATCTGGTAGGGTACTTCCATAGAGTTTCCAATTTTTCACTGGTCAGGTAGGCCTTGTGAGAAATACAGTCACAAAAATGTCATCAAGATCTATACCAAGTTATAAACATTGAGGCCATGAACAACACCTTCCATAACGTGAAAGCTGAAATAAGCAGCAGGACCCCGTAACTAACAGATATACAGCAGTAAGGGAACAACAAAACAAGCTTTCTAGATACTTGCCAATAATGTCTTTAACAAGTTTCTGAGTGGCAGCCATACGAGGCTTAGGAATTTCCAGTTTTTCACATTCATGATCCGACTGATGACGGTGCCTATGAGCAACAGAAGAGTGACACTAGTTCATGTATTTGCATACGACTTATACAGATATACAGAATTTGAATGGTATCAGTGATCACCTCAGGCAAAAATTCTTCTCACAATAAGGACATTTAACTGGCACAAGCTCTCTTTCAGCACAGTCCTTGAATGAACATGGGTAAGAGGTAGGCTTATCTGACTTCAGGCTCTCATTGATTATAGTCACCTGAAAATGTACAAAGAGGGAAATGGCATTATATTTTTCACATTTAAAGAAAATCAACATCTATTTTGGAAGGCAACATTCATACCATTTTTGCTTAAACTTGTCAGAACAACCTACATACGCTCACATAACACCAGATTATAATAAGTGTGTGAGAAATGATTACTCTGCTGACTGTTCTACATTTTCATAACTTTCTTCCGGTGGTATATTTATCTTCTAAGTCAAGTTAAAATTACTATTCAGTTACTCTTCATAATTTTAGTCTTCTATTCTGTATCAGTCCTAAACAAAGATGCCCACATAATAATATGCTTGGGTGATCATTTCATCAACCCTCAAATGGCAAGTCATAACTACTTTCTATGCTGATTTTAGCAAGTTAAAATATATATTTGAGAAAACTTAGAAGTATGTTTATCCATGATATAGAAGGTTAAAGATGGTTTTTACAATGATACATTCTCTATTCTGCATTTATTCTTATATTACCAGCAAATATTGAGGAAGAAGAGATTTTACAAGATTAAAAAAAAAAAAATCCAAGTCAGGCTAGCTTGAGTTTTAAGTAACTAGGTTTCTAGAGTTGAATGTATTTAGTGAAATAATTTCTTAGAAATCTACAACCAAAGGGCATTCCTCTATATATATGGTAGTTATATCCTGTTGGAATTGACTATTTTTCCAGATTTGGTCTAATGGTAAAATTGTTTTCATTTCATTATTTAAGGAGATCTAATTGACATTCTATGAGAGACATTCATAGAACTCAAATGATATAAGAAAAAGGAAAGCACAGAGAAGATTTACAAGCTGTAGAACATTAATATGTTTACTATATGACTGTCTCTCCAATTAATCCTGCATAATACCAAAATGTTAATTTTTATTTTCCTCACATAAATCTCCTAAACCTCAAAGGACCAGATTTGGACTGGAGCTCATTTAACCTTAATTTTCTACAATTGAGAAAACAGATATAAAAATCCTTAGTAAAGTGCTTGGTAAATGCTGGGCAGGAATAAATATCAACTGAAAAATGTGAGGCATATGCTTTCTGCCAAATCGAGTGGATTCAGTTCAACTTCCTTTCTCTGACCAAAGGCGATGAAGCAACTTATAAATCTGATAAAATTACATTTGACATGGTGGGCTCAGCCTTCTCTTCTTCCCTCTTGGAACTGAGCTGCCCTCAAGGCCTAACCTGGGGAAGCTCGGCTGTGAATAGTGGGAAAATCCGCCTACTTCTGGATTTCCTTTGCAGCCTACACTACACTAAGCTTCATCACTCAGTTATCCTTTTTGAGTAGGAACAAGGATATTTTGGCTTCTATCTAACAGCTCTTATTAATCTCTCAATTTGATCGGAATTGGGGTGAGGATTTTATTGGATTACAGGTTTGTTCCTGGCGATCTAAGGCCGATCGAGTCAGAACAACTTGTAACCACCAAATCCTAACACTAGGAAGTAGGGAAAATGAACAAAACGGTGAAGGAAAACTTGAAGGAATATATGATGAGGATGTTAACTCCACTGTATATTTATAAATATAGAGCCTAAAGCTGTAAGTGGGCTACCTAAACATAACTGCAATGTACAAGATTTATAGCAATTTATAAATAACAAGACGACCAATTTTTCTTTAAAACAAACTGAGAAAAATAACAGAAAATGAACTAAGAGCCTCTTCACATAATCAGTTTAGTATGCCAAATTTTAATCTGTGGTACCTTGACTAGTTTTAAATTCAATCAAATTCTGAATGAAAGTACATAAATACAAACATTTTATTAGGACAACTAATAACATACCTCAGGACAGCTGTGTGACTCCCTGGTTCTGTGTTCAAGGCTTAAATAATTAAAAAAAAAAAAGTTTAAATGCAATCAGATAATGTACTTAAAGATAACTGCAGTAATTAGAGATATTTTAATGGTTAGTATCCTTAATATTACTCACACTACATTAACTCTGCATATAAGAATAAACTGAAATGCCAGATAAATTAAAGATAGAACATCTATAGTCTCAAAAGTTTCAAAACCCAACTGTTCAACTTCAGTATGAATAAAAACAATTCACCACTCTAAACTAACTCTGACAGTCCGTTAAGCGTCTGTCTGCCTTGGGCTCAGGTCATGATCTCAGGGGTCCTGGGATCCAGTCCCGCATGGGGCTCCCTGCTTGGTGGGGAGTCTGCTTCTCCCTCTCCTTCTGCCCCTCCCCTTGCTCGTGCTCTCAAATAAAATCTTAAAAAAAAAAAAAAAAAAGCCTAAAACACAAAAGTTTAATTACAAAGAAAAGACATTTTCCAAAATCTTTGGTTAGTTCCCAGGTTTTACTTTGCATGTGATGTGTGTGCAAAGGACATGTGATATCCAATTTAAGAAATGTATAGGTTGGGCTCTTCATTTTAATTAATAAAGTACCTGGATTGTTTTCTACCATATTTTCTTTTTTTAAGATTTTATTTGTCAGAGAGAGAGAACATGTGCACAAGCGGGGGGGAGCGGCAGGCAGGAGAAGCAGGCTCCTCGCTGAGCAAGAAGCCAGATGCCAGACTGGATCCCAGGACCCTGGGATCATGACCTGAGCCAAAGGCAGTTGTTCAACTGACTGAGCCACCCAGGCGTCTCTTCTACCATATTCTTTATATTGTGGATATGTTCTCTCCCTGTGATTTCAAGACACAAATGTAAGTTTTACATAAAAAAAATCACACACAAATTCATTTCTGAAAGTTTAAAGTTTACCCACATAGATATACAAGTAATTAGAGCCTAGGGCTATATTTTCTAAGTAATTACTCTAATATAAAATATTAATGGCTAAAATAAAAATTATTTAAATCATTCTGCTTTTCAGAAATAAATTTCTTATTACAAACACTAAAATTACTTTCAAATCCTGTATAAAAATTTAACTTACCAAAATACTCCTGAACAACCATCACATACAAATGGAAGAAAATCTAAAATTGAGGGAAAAATGTTATATGCACTGGTCAGTATCTGATTTTGATTTAGTTTTCTTAAACAAAAAGATTCTTAAAATACTGAACTACATCTATAGGAGAACTCTTCTTTTTGACCAATATCCTAGTGTAGGAATTAGTGGTTAAACAAAAGCTATCACAACTTCAAGCACTCCGGGAATGACTGGATTATCAGGAGAAATGTTCCTTGTAGTAGCGTGCTAAATCAGGAAAAAAAAAAAAAAAAGTACTGGGATTTTTTGGATGCCCAGATTTATTATGTGTTGTTTCTGAGTACTGTATGCTGCAAAAATCCTGCATTTGAAGTGAAAATCCTGGGTTTCAATTCTGATTCTACAGTTACTAATCTAGCAATGCTAAGCAAACTGTTTAATAGTAAAGTTTTGTGGGGGATAAGAGGAAGATGTCAGCATAGGAGGATCCTGAGCTCATCTCCCACAAACACACCAAGATAACACCTACATCTGAAAAACACCTGAAAACATGAAACAGACCTTCCCGCTTAATCCTACAGAGGGAGGACACACTGGAAGGGTAGGAGGGGTGGAGACATAGTTGGGAACCAAGCCTGTGGTAAGACTAACCATAAATAGGAGGAACACAAGCACAGAAAAGCTAGAGGATCAGAGAGCCCAAACCAGGCACCCCAGCTACTGGGAACCTGCACTGGGAAGAGGAGTCCTCATAATATCGGGCTGTGAAAACCAGAGGGGCTAAACTTCAAACTTTTAAAATCAGCGGGGCTCACCTCCAGGTATTTTAAAAATCTGAGAGCTGGAGGCAATAGTAAACGGAGTCCCCATCCTTAAAAAGCTAGAATAAATAACTGCTGGCAACTAGCACAGAAACAGCAGTTTGAAAAACACCTGGGATATTCATGAAGGCAATTTATTTACTAATCTCAGAATGTGCGCTAGAGGGACAGGATCTTCAGACTTCTCCAAGAACAGAAGTGCTAGAGGGCGCCATTTCTCTTTTCCTCTCCCAGGTTAGATAGCTGGACACTTGGAGGAACCAGCACTAACACTTTCCAACTACCTTGCTAGCATGGGGTGTCTGCCCATGCATTCACCTGCGTTCCCACCCCATCCAATCTGCTCACGTCAGCAGACTCCCTCCAAAGTGGCTCCTCTCCTGCCATACCTGCAAGCAGTCCCAGCAGGGACCAGTGCCACTCCAAAGTGACTCCTGCCCTGGGGAGAGGGGGATAACCCCACACACCAGCACACCCAAAGTTCCAGCAACTTTTAGCAGGCCACACAGGGAGAAAGCCCTGCCATTCAGTGGGGCCACAGAGGCTGACTGCACACACCTAGTCTGATTGCTGGCTCACCCACTTACAAGCCCACCAAGGCCTCTCAACAGTGCAGGAGCCAAACTCTGCCCAGTGTGCCCATAGCAAGCAAAGTAGGTCACTGCAGCCAATGGGGCTGAAGGCAAATGAGGCTCAGCCACAACAGTAGTGTGCATGCAGCCCACAGAGAAGACACCCCTGGAGCACCGGATTCTGGTGACCAAGCGGCATTGTACTACAAGGCACCACAGGACCTCTTCAACACAAGTACACTAACTTTCAAGACCAAGATACATAGCTGATCTCCCAAATTCATGGAAGCAGAGTTACACAATATGAGACAGAGGAATATGTCCCAAGACAAAAATCACAGCAAAAGAGTTAAAAGAAACTGCAATAAGCAATATGCCCAATAAAGAAAACAAGTAATAGTCACAAAGATACTCACTGGACCTGAGAAAAGAGTGGATGAATTCAGTGAGAACTTCAATGTTGACATAGAAAATGTAAAACAGAACCAGTCAGAGATGAAGAATTCAATAGATGAAATAAACACACTAGAGAGAACAGATAAGGGGAGGCAGAGGAACAGATCAACACTCTAGAAGACAGGATAATGAAAAGCAACCAAGCTGGAGTAAAAGAAGAAAAAATAATAGGATAAGGGAACTCAGCATCATCAAGTGTACTAACATTCATATTACAGGGATCCCAGAAGAAGAGAGAAGGGGGCAGAAAACTTATCTCAGGAAGGAAACAAACATCCATATCCAAGAAGCAAAGAGAACCCCCAACAAGATGAACCCAAGGAGGTCCATACCAAGACACATCATAATTAACATGACAAAAAGTAATAATAGATAATTTTAGGGGCACCTGGGTGGCTCAGTTAAGCATCTGACTCTTGATTTCAGCTCAGGTCATGATCTCAGGGTTGTGAGATCTAGCTCTGCATTGGGCTCCGTGCTGGGCATGGAGGCTGCTTAATATTCCCTCTTTTCTTCTCCCTTTGCCCCCTCCACCTGTCCCCTCTAAAAAGGGTAATTTTAAAAGCAGAAAAAACAAAAAACAAAAAAACAGGTATATACAAGGAAAACCCCATAAGGCTATTAGCTGACTTTTCAGTAGAAACTTTATAGGCCACAAGATAGTGGCATGATGGGGCACCTGGGTGGCTCAGTCGTTAAGTGTCTGCCTTCAGCTCAGGTCATGATCCCAGGGTCCCGGGATCGAGCCTCACATCAAGCTCTCTGCTTGGTGGGAAGCCTGCTTCTCCCTCTCCCACTCCCCCTGCTTGTGTTCCCTTTCTCGCTGTCTTTCTCTGTCAAATAAATAAAATCTTTAAAAAAAAAAAAAAAATAGTGGCATGATATATTTGAAGTATTGAAAAGAAAAAACCTGCAACCAAAAATACTTTACCCAGCAAGGCTATCATTCAGAGTAGAAGGAGGGATCCAGTCTCCTAGATAAATAAAACTTAAAGGAGTTCATCACCACTACATGAGCTTTACACAAAACACTGAAGAGGGGACGCCTGGGTGGCTCAGTAGGTTAGGCGACTGCCTTCGGCTCAGGTCATGATCCTGGAGTCCCGGGATCGAGTCCCACATCGGGCTCTCTGCTCGGCAGGGAGTCTGCTTCTCCCTCTGACCCTCCCCCCTCTCATGCTCTATCTCATTCTCTCTCTCAAATAAATAAATAAAAAGAAAAAAAAAATCTTTTAAAAAAAAAATCTTTAAAACACTGAAGAGAACTGTGAGTAGAAAGAAAAGGCCCTAACTAGAAAAAACTTATGAAAGGAAAATATTTCACAGGTAAGAGTAAACATATAATAAAGTAGTAGATAAATCACTTACAAAACCAGCATGGTGGTTAAAAAGCAGTAAAATGAATTATACCTACAAAAATAAGTCAAGAGATACACAAAATGATGTAAAACAGGACATATACATAAAATGTCAGTGGGGGAGTAAAAATATAATGCTTTTAGAATGTGTTCAAGTGTAAGCAACTACATCAATTTAATATAAACTGCCATATGTATGTTATATATGAACTTCATAATAACCACAAATCAAAAACCTATTAAGAGATACACAAATACATAATAAAGAGAAAGGAATCCAAGCCTAACACTAAAGAAAGTCATCAAGCCACAAGAGGGCAAGAGAAGAGGAAAAGAACAGGAGAACTACAAAAACAACCATAAAATAAGTAACAAAATGGCAGTAAGTACATACTTATTAATAATTACTTTAAATGTAAATGGACTACATGCTCCAATCAAAAGATATAGGGCGACCAAATGGATTAAAAACAAGACCCATCTATACGCTGCCTACAAGGGACTCTCTTCAGACCTGAGGGACACACATACAAACTGAAAGTGAAGGGCTGGAAAAACATACCATGCAAATGGAAGCCAAAATACTTAGAGCAAACAAAATAGACTTCAAAACAAGCACTGTAACAAGAAATAAAGAATGGCACTATATAATGATAAAAGGAACAATCCAACAAGAAGATATAACAAGTATCTATATACCCAACATAGGAGCACTCAAATACATAAAGCAATTAGTAACAAAGGGGGAAATTGACAGCAATACAATACCAGTGGGGCATTTTAACAACTCACTGGTATCAATGGGTAGAGCATCCAAACAGAAAATCAATATGGAAACAGTGACTTTGAACAAAGCATTAGACCAGTGGGACCTGATACATACACAGACTATTCTATCCAAAAACAGCAGGATACATTCTTTTCAAGCACACATGCATCTATATATCTCTAAGATAGATAACCTCTTAGGCCACAAAACTAGTCTCAATAAATTTAGGAAGACTGAAATCATTATCAAGCATCTTTTTTAACCACAAAGGTATGAAACTAGAAATCAATTACAAGAAAAAAATCTGGAAAGAACATAAATACTTGGAGGCTAAATAACATGCTACCAAACAATGAATGGATAACCAAGAAATCAAAAAGGAAATCAAAAAATACATGGAGACAAATGAAAATGAAAACACAGTGGTCTAAAATCTTATATGGTCAAGTAACCTACAACAAAGGAGGCAAGAATATACAATGGAAAAAGACAGTCTCTTCAACAAATGGTGTTGGGGAAAGCTAGACAACTACCTGTAAAATAATGAAACTGAAAAAATTTCTTATGCCAGACATAAAAATAAACTGAAAATGTATTAAGACCTACATGTGAGACCTAAAACCATAAAACTCCTAGGAGAAAATATTGGCAGTAATTTCTTTGACTTCCATCAGCATTAGCAACATTTTCTAAGTAGGTCTCCTAAGGCAAGGGTAACAAAAAATAAACTTGGAATTATAATAAAAAGTTTTTGTGAATTGAAGGAAACCATTAACAAAAAGGCAACCTACTGAATGGGAGAAGATATTTGCAAATGATACATCTGATAAGGAGTTAATATCCACGATATATAAAGAGCTTATACAACTCAAAATAAAAAAAAAAAATAACCTGATTTTAAAAAAATGGGCAGAGGCCCTGAATAGACCTTTCTCCAAAGAAGACACAGAAATGGCCAACAGACACATGAAAAGATGCTTAAGTCACTAAGCCTCAGGAAAATGCAAATGAGATATCACCTTATACCCGTTACAAAGGCTCTTTAAAAAATTTGAAGTAGAAATACCATACGATCCAATCATTCCACTACTGGCTATGGATCTAAAAAAAATAAAAACACTAATTCGAATAGATATATGCATCCTATGTTTACTGCAGCATTATTTTCAATAGCCAAGATATGGAAGCAACCCAAATGTCCAATGACAGATGAATGGATAAAGAAGATGTGGTACATAAATATACTATGGAATATTACTCAACCATAAAAAAAGGAGATCTTGCCATTTGTGACAACATGCATGGACTAGAGGGTATCATGCTAAATGGAATAAGACAGAACAGACCATATGATTTCACTTACACGTGGAACTTAACAAAACAAATAAAAAAACTGCTTCTTAAATACACAAACTGCTGGTTGCCAGAGGAGGGGTGGGTGGGGGAATGGGTGAAATAGATAAAGGGGATTAAGAGGTACAAACTTCCAGTTGTAAAATAATTAACTCACAGAAATGAAAAGCATAGGAAATATAGTCAGTAATATAACAACATTGGATGATGACAACGGTGAATTGCTGAATCTATAGATTGTGCACCTGAAACTAATATAACATTGTATGTTGATTATGTCAATTAAAAAGTTATAGAAAAATAAGATGACTCCTCTATATTAATCAGTAAAAAAATTTAGTAGAGCTTTGGATATATATGTATATATATATATTTGATATAGAATGTAGTATATGTCTGTGTATGCATACAAAACCAAAGCTCTATTAGGGGATATAGATATAAGCATATCAGGTCTGTGTACATATATGTGTATATGTAGATTTCTAGACTGTAGGTCACACCTACTTCATAGAGTAACTGCAAAAACCAAACGAGATATATGTAAAAGAATAGTAAGTAACTAATTAAGAATCATTGCAACAATTAACTTGTTTTGAATATACTGAACTCTGAGAAAAATCCTGTGGTGACTTGGGGGAAATGTGTTTAAAGAAATTTCAGAAATTCAATAGATAAATTGATTGATACTGCCAAATTTAATCCTGAGTTGTTTCCTTCCTTTCTGTTGAGGAACAACAGGTAGTTGTTAGGAAATGAATTTTTGAAAAGCAGACAAAAAGTATCCACTCTTCCACTAGATATAATCACTCTCTAAATTGTTTTGCTTGTACCTCATACTACAGTATACAGTCAAGTGAAGCTGGATATGTCCAATCGTGCAACTTTTACAAAGTGAAAACAAAAGGCACTACACTTTAGAGTACAATTGCCCCCCAAAAGGTCTCATGCTACAGGGTACCTTAACCAAAACAGAAAGAGGTCCTATCATAACCCAAAGGGATCCCTGGATAATTGTGCTTGTGGGACAAGGGGGACTGAATACAGTTCTTCCTCTACTGCAGCAGTAGGCCAAGTGAATGGACACTGTTGTTCTGAAGGTATGATACCGTGAGCATGTTTCATACCAAAAAACTATGTATTCATTTGTCAGCGGGAGGAAACTGAAGCATATAATACTCTAACTCTTATGTCTCTTTCAAATTAGAAAAAATGTACATGCTTGCTGTTTTGAGCCTTCTGGTGATTAGGTATTAAATACAAACCAAGAGGACCTAGAGGGAAGAGTCAAGATCAAGATAGAAAGATAGAAAACTATCCATCCAGAAGCTAAACGAAATTTAGGATACTGAATACCCTCTAAATCCTAACCCCCTCTCCACGACTCCAAAAGAGCTAAGCCCTGGCCTCATTTCATATATATTTGTATTTTAAGAGATCCCTGAAGTTGGCAGATACCATGGATGTAGCAATCAGGTATACCAGAGATAAACATTACAGTCAAAACCCAATTGGCTGAGCTTCTCTATGAAAGATCTACAAGGAAATATAGGTTTCCTGAATGGCTAGCCATGACAGCGGGTGGTAAAATATACACAGACTGTAAGTGACAAGAACCTAGAAGGGATTGTGCCCTTTTGCCCACAGCAGGTATCACTAATCAATCGTGGCATTCTCACTAAAACTGGGCTAAATCTCGAGAGTTCTCCTTTCACCGGGTACCTACAACCAATAACTGAAGCTGCAATGAGAGATGAAACCTATTTGCCACCCTATGTAGTAACAGTCAAATGTGACAGCACACATTTGGAGCAAAGCCCAGGTACCAAAGACTGAGCATTCTGTATCGCTCTAATGCTTCGGAAACTTGCCTGTCCAGACGTAGGACATCCTAAAGCTTGTTGCCACATTACCACTGGCTATTAGATTGGGCTAGGTGTATCACAGTCTCTCAGTTCACTGCAGAGAGAAGTTCGCCTTATTAATGATCCAAAATACAGATTATTCTGAAAGCTCTTCTATGGAAAAGACCGTATTTTATACCCTCCTATGTAGTTCCAGCACCAAAATTGATGCTTGGTAAATGTTTGTTGAGTCAGTAATATTCAATCAAAGAATGACAGAACTGAGTGAGCATAATGATCATCTAGCAGGATGGTCTGAGGATGAGAATCTGCTAAAAGCTAAGCGCATTCGCACGAGAAGCCGCGAAGACCAGGTGAAAAACTGATCTCGCCCAACTCCATCCGACAAGTAAGTACAGAAAATTTGGAAAGAAAAGTGGCTTGCCCAAGGTCGTAGTGGCGGGATCAGAGGGGAACACAAGTCTCCCGACAAAAGAAAGGAGTGGGAGGGACAAAACAAGTTCTTGGCCAGGCACACTCGAAAAACAAAGGGAACATGCAAGGCATGTTTTCGGAAATTGCATGGTTCGCTCCAAAAGAGACCACAAGTCTCTTCCAAAGACCCAGGAGCAAGAAAAAAAGACCAACACATCCCACTGCAGACCCAAGAGGGACGAACTCACCCTGCCTCCTCAGACTTCACCGCGCCCCACCACCTCCCCTCACCCGCCACCAGTCTCCGTGAAGGCATAGTGGGATCCAGGTCTACCACGCCCGCGGCTAAGGACTGCTAGGTCACCTCGCTGCCGGCAATGCTCCACCTGACAGTGCTGCCCTACGTCCAACTCCGCCATCACAGCGCCGCCAGAGGCAGGGCTACGGCGCACGCGCGGCGCCTCCTGGGAGTGTGGCGGACCTGGGGGCGGGGCCTGCCGCCCGGCTGGCGCGTCCACCGGAAGAAGTCCCGCTGTTGTGAGCGCGTTGAGCTGTGAGTGTATATGCGATCTAGGCGTCCAGCGAGGCAGCGTGAAGGAAAGGGAGTTGGTCTGTTTGTCTTTTTCCTGGGCGGAAGTCTTCGCGGCCAGTCCTTAAGGAAATACCGAGTTACCCTTCTGGAAGGCTGCGTGCTGAAGTTCCCTCCGTGCTGCAACCCAAATTGGGGACGACCTTGCAAAGATGGTGTTGTTTTTAATTGATGTAAATCTCCGAACCGGCACAGTGCCTGGCACAAGTATTTGCAATAATCAAGTGAAGGACCTTATTCAATTCCTATTTGTCCTGCACCAGTGTTAGTTACTTAATAATATAGTTTAAAGTAAATCCCTCTTGCAAGGGATTCATTAGGCTTGTTGAAAAGTAAGGGTTTTTTCTTTATTTGTATTTTTTTTTAAATGGGGGGGGGGTTGTAGCTTTTGAGGTCCCAAGTGTGTACTGAACCGCATTGAGTTCCTCAGTTTAGAGAGCCCTAATTTAACACAACTCCCTGAAGAAAGCTTGTGATGCCACTGGGAAGAAGGGGAATCTCGGGTATTTGATGAGCCACTTCAAAGGCACCAAGTAGAGGCTCTTCTAGGTGGGGTACAAATGGATGCCATTCCACTGATGTGACACCAGACAGGACTCAGAGTGGGATGAGCGGCAATCAAAAATGTACTCATGACAGGAACTGGAAAAAATATTCAATGCCTCGTATATAACAGGGTCTATCCAAATCAATATTCATTGAGAAGGGGAAAGGCTGAGATTGAGAAATGGTTATTACTTCAAGATTTGCTCTTGCATAAATCTGTTTAAGATTTCCATCAAAGACTTGCTTGGGTCTCTGGAGAAACTGTAGATTTTAGAGCTAGAAGCAACCGATCATTTAGTTATCCCAGCATCAGTTTTGTTTTTGTTTTAAGATGAGAAAACATGTTCATAGCATTCAAATGATTTGCCCAAATTAGTGGAAGAGCCATGACTAAAATTCAAGTATCAAAGACTTCTGGTATTCTTGAAGAATCAGCAGGTTACCTGATTTTTATGTTTCTTTTAGCTGGTTGGGTCAGTCAACAGCAGGTTTTCTAGAGTTTTACTAAGTGTTTAGAATGTCCTAAAGAGGTGGCAAATATTTTATCAGTCCAATCATAAAATTAAAATACTCTATTTTTTCAGTTCACTCACCCTGGGAATATAAGGAGCATCAGATAGAGTAGCCAAGGTTGCAGTTGCTAGCTCTTTCATCTCTAGTCTCCTTTGCCAGTTTCTCCCCTAGGTGCTACTTCAACATGTGTTTCCCCTTAATTTTGTGCTTGGTCCATTTATCAATTTACATACTCATAGAAGTGAAATTCCCCTGGTTCCAAACGACTCCCATAACCATATTCTTTATCTTGAGAACTTTCTCCCAGACTGAAGGTCTCTTTCTGTCTGTAGACATATTCACTTAGTGTCATCTCTCATATAAAACTTAAACCAGGGGCGCCTGGGTGGCTCAGTCGTTAAGTGTCTACCTTCGGCTCAGGTCATGATCCCAGGGTCCTGGGATCGAGTCCTACATCGGCTCCCTGCTCAGCGGGAAGCCTGCTTCTCCCTCTCCCACTCCCCCTGCTTGTGTTCCCTCTCCCACTCCCCCTGCTTGTGTTCCCTCTCCCACTCCCCCTGCTTGTGTTCCCTCTCCCACTCCCCCTGCTTGTGTTCCCTCTCCCACTCCCCCTGCTTGTGTTCCCTCTCCCACTCCCCCTGCTTGTGTTCCCTCTCCCACTCCCCCTGCTTGTGTTCCCTCTCCCACTCCCCCTGCTTGTGTTCCCTCTCCCACTCCCCCTGCTTGTGTTCCCTCTCCCACTCCCCCTGCTTGTGTTCCCTCTCCCACTCCCCCTGCTTGTGTTCCCTCTCCCACTCCCCCTGCTTGTGTTCCCTCTCCCACTCCCCCTGCTTGTGTTCCCTCTCCCACTCCCCCTGCTTGTGTTCCCTCTCCCACTCCCCCTGCTTGTGTTCCCTCTCCCACTCCCCCTGCTTGTGTTCCCTCTCCCACTCCCCCTGCTTGTGTTCCCTCTCCCACTCCCCCTGCTTGTGTTCCCTCTCCCACTCCCCCTGCTTGTGTTCCCTCTCCCACTCCCCCTGCTTGTGTTCCCTCTCCCACTCCCCCTGCTTGTGTTCCCTCTCCCACTCCCCCTGCTTGTGTTCCCTCTCCCACTCCCCCTGCTTGTGTTCCCTCTCCCACTCCCCCTGCTTGTGTTCCCTCTCCCACTCCCCCTGCTTGTGTTCCCTCTCCCACTCCCCCTGCTTGTGTTCCCTCTCCCACTCCCCCTGCTTGTGTTCCCTCTCCCACTCCCCCTGCTTGTGTTCCCTCTCCCACTCCGTCAAATAAATAAGATCTTTAAGCAAAAACAAAAACAAAACTTAAAACAAAATGGGATGCTTTCTTACCCCTAACAAAGTCTACCACATTGGAAACCCTGAATTTATTCTTCACCACTCAGTTCTTATTTCTCTCATGGAAGTAGCCCTAAAACTATCAATTATGCCTCAGAAAGTTCTCAAATGTATACTCTTCAACTGCTCAGGTTATTTCCTCCCCAAAAAACTCACTCTTACCTAAGATCTTCTGATGGTTCTCCATTATTCACAAGAGATTAATTTAGTAAGGAAAAGCTTTATTGGTAAAGCTTTTCACAATCTCAGCCTCAGCAATAACTACTTCCCCTCAAGCGCCCTACTCTCCAATAATTTCCTAAATGTATCTTCTGCTTCTTTCATATGTACATGCCTTTCCTTTTCCCTTGAATGTGCTCTATACCAGTCTTCCAAACTGAGAATAAGAATCAGGTGGGGTGCTTGTTAGTAAGTACAGCTGTCCATACCCCTCCCTGGGTCTAATTTAGAGGGTCTGGGATGGGTCCTGGGAAGCTAGATCTTTAACAAGTGCTCTCACATTCATTCTTATCAGATCAGTTTAAAAAACAGTTTTCTCTACCTTCAGAATATAATTCTGTTATCCTTTCAACTGGGAAAGTTTTGAGTGCTCAAACAAAATTCAGTCCTCCAAGACATCAGGCACCTGCTATGGTAGCAATCGCTACGTACTAGCACTAGCCAGCAATACTGTAATTCACCTGACCAAAAAAACTTTCAGTGGATTCTATTAGCTAGCAAATAAAATCTGCACTCAATTTAGCAAACCTATCCTAGATTTGATACAAAATTGAATAAGACATGGTCTCTGACCTCAAGGAGCTCACAAAGTCTAGGGAAGAATATCTCTGCTTGGCATTTAAAGTCTTTCAAATTTTTGCCCAACCTACCTTTATCATTATCGCTCAAAGGCCTCTCCGTAGTCTGTGCTCACCATAGCTTCAGACCCTTAAAGGTGCTGTTCCTTCTATTTGGAATGCTCTTTCGCTTTCCCATTTGAGCTGGTTTGTTTCTGCTTTTCCTTTAGCGGTTACCTCAAGTATCTTTTTCTTAGGAAATTCTTTGTTCTCCTGACTAGGACAAATCCTGCTGTTACTACATTCACTCTGTATCTCCTTCAAAGCATTTGCCCCAGATTTGATTTTGTATTTGTATGATTATTTGATTAGGGTTTGTCTCCCTATCTAAGCTGTAAGCTCCATGAGGACAGGGACCTGGTTTGGTGATTATATAGATATTCACCGTAGAACTCTTTGTTAATCTGTCTCCCTATTATGCAGTCTTCTGCAGATTTTTTCTACCTCTGAATAACAGTTTATTTTGCATACCATATTCTACATTAAATCTTTGAACATCCTAAGTTCAAACTTTAACAGTTATAACAGCTAAGATTCTTTGAGTACTTTATTATGTACCAGGCACTTAAATTGATCATTTAATCTTAATACTTTTAGATATTATTGTTCCCATTTCATAGAATTTCTTAGAAAAATTATTCAACTCCTGCCTCCTTGTCTCCAGCATCAGAAACTGCTCTCCCTCTTCATCTCCTCACTGACTTAATTGATTACACTTACCAGCTATCTTCCTGGTGAACCTCATAAACTAATCTCTTAGTCTGGAATTCTTTCTCCTTTCCCCAGTTTACCTATCTCCTCCTCATCTTTCAGCTCTCAAAAGAGGCTTTTAAGACCTGTTCCCCCCCCCCCCCCGCCGGTTTCCTATTGTTGCTGTAACAAATTACCACAAATTTAGTAACTTTAAACACTGTAAATTTTTTACCTTACCTTACTGGAGGTCAGAAGTCATAAAACCCGTGTGTTGGCACGGCTGTGTTCCTTCTGAGAGTTCAAAGGGAGAATCCAATTTCTTGTCTTGTTCAGCTTCTAAAAACTACCTGTGTTCCTTGGCTCATGACAACCCCTTCCTCCATCTTCAAGGACAAAATGGCATCCTTGAACGTCTCTCTTCCTGCCCTTCATGCTTCCCCGCTTACATCAGTCTCCTCTTACTCTGACCCTTCTGCCTTCCTCTCTTAAGAAGCCTTGTGGTTACATTGGGCCCACCTGGATATTTCAGGCTACTCTCCCCATCTCAAGAGCCTTAACTCAATCACATCTGCAAAGTCCCTTTTGACATATAAAGAAACAGTTACAGGTTTCAGGCAATGATGTTGGCTAATTGAATTTAAATTAAAAAAAAATAAAATAAATAAAATGCTTTTGGAGGGGTTGTATGTCAATGTTGACTTGTTCCCATTCACTGATTCAGTAGACATTTTTTGAGGCCTTACCATGTGTCAATTCTGGGAAGTATGAGAACGTATATTGGAGTAGGTAAAATAATAAATTTGTCCACATTCTAATCCCTGAAATCTGTAACTGTTTTTTCACCTTGCTCACCTGTTCTCTCTCTCACTCTCAAATAAATAGATAAATCTTTTTTAAAAAAATAAAGGAAGGCAAAAGGATA